TATATGCATTTTTTGTAATTTAAAAAAATCGATATTTTCCTTTTGAATCTTTTTTTTATGAATTAGTCGAGGATTACACGAGATAAAGAGAGAGGAAACTTTTGCGTGAAAGAATGGGAGTTTTTCGATAACGCAAAAGCATTTCGCATTCTTGATGCAAACAATATTTTTTCGAAAACTGCATTGAAAGTAATGTGAGGATGAAGGAATAAATATTCAAGTATATATGTCATTGTTAACTGACATGTTGTGGATACTTCTCTGACTTACCCAAAAAATAGTATATTATTCAACAAGCATATAATAAGGGCTATTATTAACGAAGGTTCAGTTTATGTCACGAGCGTAGCGAGATAAGTTGAAGACCCAGTGAGAAAAGTAAAAAATAGTGCGTTATAAAGAAAAAAAAATTAATTCTCGAATCTCTAAGAACTTGAAGCGCAATATTTGGTAGGATAGCAATGCAATAATAAAGAACTTTCAGTTCTTTTATATCTGCACCGATGAGCTTGAGGAAATAAAAAGAAAATGAAGTTCAAATTTAATTTCAAAAGAAGAGATTTAAATATATCAGAGAAATGATTGTCTGATTTGTATTTATTCATTCGCGCGTCATCAATATAAAAACGCCTTAGTTATGAAAATTTCAGCAGATATACAGTAGATTAAGTAGATAAAACTTAACAGTACTTTTCGTGAAAATAATTATAGGTGACAATAATGAAAGGCAGACAGACCTAATTCATATTTGTGATAATGACAATTTCATGTCAATAATACTGTATATGACACGATACTAGGTAAGGTGGCATATTAACAGGTACCTATATGCGCTTACCTATCGTTTACCTATAAATAACTAGAGGAACCCACATATCTACCCTTTTCACTTAAAATATAGTATAGGTACCTAATTATTCTACTTAATCACTTAATAGGAGATGAACTCTTTGAGAGACATTCTATTGATGGTCATTGGAAAACACTACCTCTATCATAATGAAATAATATATTCTAGGAAGAATTTCAATTCACTTCAAACTAATTATGGGTATATATAAATAATACATAACTCCTGAGGGATATTTCATATGTAGTTCAAAACTGGTGAAGTGATCGTGAGTGATATTTTGTGGCCATGAAGATTTTCTGAAAGATTTTGTTGGAGATACTCCTGTGGCTATATATTTTTTTAATCACCTACTATAGTTACCTATATTAATTATATTATTTATTGAATCATTACAAAATTATGAATTCCACAAGTACGCCGAAAAAAGTGAGTAAATGAAACATTGAATTATTCAAACAGAATAAGAAATATTATGTTCCCTTGTATTCATTTCTCTCAGTAGATCGTATCAACGGCATGTTGAGAAACCCCTGAAACTAAAAAATTGGGAATGGCCATTCGATGATTTTTTGAATATCATGATTATATTCAGATAATTCTATTAAATCTCTTATAAATATGAGTCGTTCTTAAATGTAACTATAACTATACCCTTATTTTGGAGGTGAATGAAAGATTCATATTTTTATTTTCTGATTTATGTGATATTTAATTAAAGGAACCATGGAGTGATAAATCAGACTCAATTCATAGAGCATCTTTATTTAGAGTAGGTAGTTCATTTTGAACTTGATTTTCAAAGTCAAATACGAGAGTGATAATGGTGGTATCACTTATTGATACTTGAAGAGGGACGCGACCGATTATAAGGACATTCCAGTTGAATTTCGATGAACAAGAAGTTTTAAGCTTCATTTATTTAGAGACATAAATTACAATCTGCTAGTTCATATGATTGCATTTCTATATTTTTCGAAGGAAAAGAAGAAATAATGTTAAAGGAATGCAGTTTTTGAAAACTGATTATCTAGATCAAGAACAATACATTCTCAAGGCGCTTGTATTATTTTCTTGTACAAACAACATCCTGTATAAGATAACCTCAAGTGAACTTTCGAATATGAAAATGGAAGTTTGAAGTGGAACACACTCTGTATATAATCATTTCGAAATTAATAAAATTATTTGTAATTTTTGTTCAGTTTTTCGTAATCCGAAATAAAAGTTGATTTTGTCAAATATTACCACCCAGAGGTAACAGAGTCCATCACAACAATCGAAGATTCGAAGTGAATAGAAAACTAAGCTAACTACTATATTATACAGGGTGATTCATGAGGAGACTCACATAGCCAAATGGTGAATAGGGAAAATCAAGACAAGTTGATGTATAATGATGAAAAATTATTTTGCCATCCATAACGAAGACACAGGGTATTATGTGAAATTGCCATATATAACTTTGTTGGCCGTTATTTCAGAAATGATTCATTGTAATTTGCTGAAACATATGGGAGTAAAAAAACCAGGTGGCGCACAATCATATATCACCAAAAATATCGATATATACAGGGTGTTTCATGAAAGACTAACATAACGAAATGGTAACTAGGGGAAATCAAGAAGAGTTGATGTATATATATATGAAAACATTTTTTGACCCTCCATAACGAAGATTATTATGTGAAATTGCTGTATAACTTTTGATGGTCGATATTACAGAAATTATTCGTCGTAATCTGCTGAAATTTGGCAGCGATGTATCTCTACTGAAACTATTCAAGATAAAATATGATGAAAAAAAAATCCAGGTCCCTACTGGAGAAAATTTTTTGTTTCATTATTATGTCAAAAAAGTTCACTTTGTGACCACTTTTCTCGAAAAATTCTATCAGATTCAGAAAGATCAGACAAAATGCTATAAGAACTTTGGAATATGAAGTGGCACCTAGAGTGTAAGAATATTTCTATTACCAGTGTTGACCTATCAACAAACGCCACGTTACATACAATAAAAACAGGGCCACTTTATAACAAATTTATAAAATAGAACTACGAGTAATCATATCTATCTAGAAGTTCGGTCAAAAACTAGCATGTCAAATCATTAAAAAACAGAACTAATCTCTTCTGTCAATTAATATTCAATAAAAATGTAGAAAAAATCAATTCACATGATACCATTTGAAAGTTGACAGTTATCAGCCAGGTCGAAATTTAAAATTCATTCGAACGATTTTGTTCCATATTTTATTGAACCGGTCAAAGTGTATCGTGTGAATTGAAGAGCAGTTCTCATAGCGTTTTGTCTGATCTTTCTGAATCTGATGGAATTTTTCGAGAAAAGTGGTCACAAAGTGAACTTTTTTGACATAACAATGATACATAAAATTTTCCCAAGTACGGACCTGGATTTTCATTTCATAATAATTATGTTATCTTGAATAGTTTCAGTAGAGATACGTCCCTGCCAAATTTCAGCAGATTACGACGAATCAATTAATTCTGTAATATCGACCATCAAAGTTATATAGCAATTTCACATAATACATCAACTCGTCTTGATTTCTCCTATTAACCATTTGGCTATGTGAGTCTTCTCATGAAACACACCCTGTATAATTTAACCCACTGTTACGCCACTGAAAATGTGAGTACAACAAAAAAAAGCTTTGACTACTGAATAATAAAATGATTTTTTATGGAAATATTAATACCCTGTATCTCAAAAACGAAACAATCGAGTTATAGGATACATATTTATATATAACCTTCATTTTTCAAAATATCACAAGGAATCACCCTCTGAAATTTATCGAACTTATTCACTGTATTTTTTAATTCTGATGTTTGAAAATTGAAAGGTGTCTATTTATTTTGAAACTTTCCTTATTGTCGAACGATATGCCAAAATTTTGATCACCATGTATAGATAATTGCAACTAACGATCCATGTCGAACGATATTTTTTTCTACATGGATGCCCACCATGTCTTATTTTTCATATCTCGCCGTGTAGACTAGTTATGGTTGATTTGCAGTTACCACTGCTACTGTTTAAATCCGAATAAAATATGACAGAGTAAATTGTAATTGAAAAAAATCAAGAAATGCCCATAACGTTGTTCTTAGATGTTCAACTGTTTTTATAAATTTCTTTCTTCTTTGTTTAGGCACACGAAGAGAAGCGCCTGAAGCTATTGCTGGAAATAATTTTCAATAAAAACAGGATCCAAAATGGTGAGTTGGTATAACGTATTACACCCCAGTAAATACACATCCCTGGGGTATCACATTCTTGTCTCGCTAGGTAACAATGCGAGTCACAAGAAAACATCGTTGGTATTGCTAGGACACTCTTTATTTAACAAAACATTCGCAATATTCGTCACATTCGTCCCTAACAACCAAAAGTCTCACTGAACTGGAACCTCACATCGTTGTCTATTTATGTAACAAACGAAATCAATCAATTTTGATATTGAATGGGTACTGTTAGTTTGATTTTAGTTCAATCAAATGGTATTTTCACTTGGAAAAAATTCAAGTAGTCGGTTTCTCTGTGGTTTCATATGTTTTTGGAGGTGCTGAATTCGAATCTGAATTTTGCAAACAAAATTTCCTGGAGCGTTCCGAGATGTTCGTAAAAAACAAAAATTTTCGGACTTTCTTCGTTTTTTGCCCGTAACTCGAAAATTATACGTTATATCGAAAAGACCGCCCTATAGAATATTGAAGTAGATAAAATTTCCTGAATATAATTGTCATTGCTCATGAATGTAGGACTAACGAGTGCGGAGATAGAGCCAGTTGAAAATTGACCAAATAAAATAACGTTTTTCGTCGGTTTTCGCAGATAATTCCAAATCTACGCATTCCTCGTTATCTAGACCTGTTCTAGGGTAGTCAGCCTTTGGCGGACTGGTACTTTACATGAAAGGCGGTTTCAGAAATATTTAGGAAAAACGGCCTTCAGGGTATTTGAAAAGGGCGTAACTTCCTTAGGAAACATTATTTGACAAATATTTGAAGAATCTCTTTTTATATAGAAATATCACAGAAATCACCCCACGAATTTGTAACCAATGTTTAGGAAACACACTGTATATTTAATGTAAGTGCGAAGATATGTTAAACTTATCCATGAATGCTTTATTTTCTAGAACCAAGCGTCAGAATGTCAGAACTTCCAGATAAGACTCTCTTCTCTTCCAACGAGTCAATAGAGTCAAAAACCAAGCCTTGTGATGTCTCAGAATCATCTATTGACACTCCAGTAGGATCCAAAAACAATGATATAGAAATAAAAATTAAGCTGGATTTTACTAATTCCAAAAAGAAAGGAACCGTGATACCCAACGAAGGAACTAATGTGATAAAGTCTACATCTCAAAGAGAAGAAAAACCATATTTCGATGATACCTCAAATTCTGTGATTGGAATTTCAGCGAATGAAAATATCAGTTTTAAAAATGAGAATAACGAAGCTTCAAGCAGAAATAATTCACCAAACAAAGTATTAGAAAATGCTGGACAAATATCCACCATGAATAGTGACTCATTGAACATCAGCAAGTTCAAACCAATAATACAGCAAAATATTGAAGAAGTGGACGAAACAAATTATTCATACAAAACTTGTGAAAATGGGCAAGTTCGAAGCAATGAGACAACAATATTGACACCTGGAAATACCACAAATATTTTCCACAGTACAATGCTATCTAGCTTTCAATATCTGAATCAACAGGAAAAATTGAAGAGTTCTATGGGAGATTACGATGAAAAAATTTCTGCACTAATTCACTTACTGATAATGGAAAAATATAACAGTATCTTGAAAGATTTCAGGGAAAGAAGCATGAAGAGACAAAAATACTGCACTTCCGAAAAGTCAGAAGATGAAAAGTTTCAACAATTTTTGAATACGCAGTGGGAAAATAAAGAAACTGAAAATACACAATCTGAAAATGATGACCTTGGCTTCAACAGTTCTGGACAGAATTCACCAGAACCGAATTTGATAAACTGTTTCGCACCAAAGAATGATATAGGAAATATTTTACGGGATAATCATGAAGGGGAAAATTCTCCAGAACTAAATTTCAATTCATCAGAAATGAGACCTGAAAATGGTAGAAGTTTGGATAGCGGTTTGAATGACACGAAAGATTCTCTAGAATCACTCTGTACTTACCCCAAAGCCGAAAATAAACAAGATTCAACGGTCGACTACAATGAAGATCAGTTTTTATCAATGGCTTTGGGAAAAGAAATTGGATGTAGTTCTCCGGAATCACAGGTGAGTCTCAATAAATATTTTATGTGGCATGACGGAGCATTTTCTCAAAATTTACAAATATTTGATCGTTTTCGAAATCGAAAAAAAATTTGAGGTCGTCCTCAATTCTATTATTTTTTTCAAAATTGTGTTAATACATCAGTGTTACCTACCTACCTAAATGAGATATTCCAATTCTGGATTTATTAAAATCTCAATTATTCACTGATTGATGTAATTCCATGGGCGTCACCAGGAAAAATTCCTGGGGGGTCTGAAATTGTGCTTCCAAGCAAATCAATAACTGCATAAATTAGAATCAACCTGTATAGAGGTAGCCTAGCCTTGTGGGAAATGCTGTTTAGAATTAATTAACATCATCTATACCCGAAATACCAGCTATATTAATAAAATATATTAATCTTTGGAAGAAGTCCATGGTAACTCAAAGTGTAATTCATAGATGAAAAACCCAAAGTCATCTCCACAACTTTTATTGAAATGATCAAAGATCATCAATGGTACATGTTTCGGGCTTATATAAGCCCATCATCAGCCGATAAAATAGTTCAAAGTTATGGCGGAAGTGAAAAAAGTTGAAATTCAAATAACGTGGACAATAACAGAGCAAACAAAGGCAACTGCTCCATGATTGTTAATGTAAAATTGTGTATGTGTATGAACCCGACCCTCGAATGACCATTTCATAAGAATTTTAAAATTTTTATACTTTTTTATAAAAACATCCCTTGAATTTTTTCGGTGTTATTTAGATACACCCTGTATATACTAACATCTCATATTTCAATTCCCAGAACGAATTTTCGAATTACTACAGTACCCCAGCAGAATTTAGAACATATGGAACAGAAAAGAGCATAGGCAGCAGCAATATTTCCACCCTGGTATCGAGCAATGAACACAGAAAATCTGATGACATCTACAGTTATTACAGTGCAGTGATAAAACGAGAAAAACGAAGTCCTCGACCTAAGAACATTTCAATATCGAAGCCTATCTTCAATTCCGTTTCGACTAACGATTATGAAAGCTTGGATAATTGGAAGATGAGCTCAAAGGAGGAAATGTTGATGCAAGAAAATGGTATTCAACAAGAAATCATCCATCAGGTTTCTAAAGCTCTGACCGTTTGTAGAACAACCCCGGAAATATTCGACAGAGAAACTCTCATTGAGGCTGAAAAAATACTGCTTGTTGCAAGTAAGTTAATGACCAATCATTTTATATTGGTCTCATTGTCAACCTGTTTTCAATTTAATGATGTTGAACTTTCAACAAATGCCATGAATTTAAGATTTTCTGTACTTCACCTGTACCGACTCAACAAATAATCAATTGTATGTATCAATCTAAAATCAGAAAACTAGAGCTGAAAACAGCCAATACAATGTTGATAAAAAAATGTCTTTCAAACCAGAAACCACCCTACGCAAATGTGACTCCTAGAAGTTCTACAGGGTGTTTCAGAATTCAGAAGATTATACCCAGCGAGCACAAACATCCCTGGAATGTTTTGAAAATATTGGCATGAAGATGTTATTTTGTGACGTAATATGCACTGACCAAAGAGGTCTTTGAAGGATATTGAAGTATTGTTTTTGTTCTTCTGTGGCATTTCTTTGTTTGCCTACTGATGAGAGGTATCCCTGGGATGTTTTGGGATGTTTTAGAAATGTAGGCATGAGGATGTTTTTTGAGGCGTAATATGCACTTCCCAAAGAGATCTTAGAAGGATATTGGAAGTATTATTTTTGTTCTTTTGTGCCCTTTCTTTGTTTGCCCCACCACAACGTCTCATGCTTACGTCACAATACGATGAATTCTGATTTGTTTTCGATTTTGTTCTTCTTGTACGCAATTGGCATTCGCGTTTGCAGCATGTCACGCTTACATCACGCTGCTAACGAACAAAAAGGAATTTGGTGAAGTTTATTGTGTTAGAAGACTTATTTAGTTTGTAATAATGACCATCAGATGCAAAATGTGTTGTTCGGTGCCTCGGTGTAATCAATATATAAAAGTACGAATTCATCAATACACAGCTTCTCCGCAGTTGCAAAATTATGCATTGTGGAGAACATTTCAAAAATTGGGAAACCTATTTCCAATTATTTGTCTGTGTGTAGTAAGCACTACTCAGAAACCGATTAAGAAGGTAATTTCATATCAAGAAAATATTTTCATGTTCAATCTATTTTCAATGCATTTTTTTATTCAAGGGAAATGGATTCCTAATGCAAAAGTTCATTTTGACAAAAGGCTTCAGAAAAGTACCTCGAAAATGGTTTTTTTACAGCGATTTAATGTGCGCAAGACGCGTTGAAAATGTTCTGTTGTGTCCATGAAAAGGCTTTAAAAAGAACTAGGGAGAAGGTAGTTTTGTGACATATTAAGGACATCTCGATAATTGCCGCCTGCGGCGGACATTGGCTGTTCTATAATATAGTTCTATTCATGTGTGAACAGAACATCGCAGTGGAGGTTCAATGTCTCGAAATCTCGTACTTTTAACATCTTTGAGATGTTTTTGTGCTCGCTGGGTAATACTTATTTAGTTTACAGGAGATAATCAGATCAGATCAGATTCATGTATAAAATGATCGATGGCAATATTGATTCCCTATAAATTAGAAATCGAAGAAGATCAGTTAGAACACAAATCTTTAAAGTTCTTTTCTAACTATGCATACCTATCAACTATGTGCTGAATTTTGAATTAATGAATAACTATGAGGGTCCTACTAAGAATATTCCTTTTTAGGTTATAAAAAAGATATAATCACGGAGCAACTGAACAAGACTCTTATTGGAGACAAGAGCAAAGATTGTGCCACTGCCACAATAAGAATGAGCAACATGAAATTTTCTTATGGCAACCGTATTCACCATAATAACAGACACAAGCATTATTTTCTGTGTATTCTACATTGTGGATCGAAAATTGTCAACAGTGAAATGGTGATGATGAGAGGAAAGGAGATTGTATTCGAGGAATGTTTTCAGTTCGAGAACATTTCGCCAGAATTTGAAATCACTGTCAACATTTTCGCTCTCACTGTGAAGAAAATGTCTAAAAAGGTATAGTAATTTTCCCCTGAATATTCGAATTATTTTGGTAGAATTGTGCATTGTAATGATGAAAATGTCAATAACAATAACAGTTACAGATGTGTACAAATATAAGTTTATTATATATAGGGTGTTTCGGATTACAATTGAAACAATTTGTTAGGCGATAGAACGATAAAAATAAAAAGAAGTTTTGGAGATCAGTTTTCGAGATACAGGGCGTTGACATTAGAAATATTATTTGCATATCACTCTGTATAAAGCTTTCATCATGTCTAAATTCAGGGTGGTCAATAATCTCAATTGAGCTCTTTCCTACCTTTAACGAGAGAGAGAAAAGTTTTCCCCTCTTCCATCTTTCTCTTCAATGCTACCAACCTGGCCGCATTGAAATATAGAGAGGTCCGATAAATCTTTCCTTGTCTAATCTCTAGTCTGCTCCACTGAACTATTTTCGATGTTATTCGCGATAGAAAATAACATGTCACTCCACCTGACGGTATAACAACTTGAAACAAAAAACAAATGTGAACCAATGAAAACAAAGTATACATGTTGCTTTCAAGAACTCTGATAGGTGGCGTACGCTTATTTTCTAATCGCGAATAATGATATTCTTTTTTTCTGAACTGACATAATTATTTCACTTAGACTGAACTGAATCAGTTAACATGCATTCTAATAACTAATCAAATTCTTTCGAAAGAACTCATAATAACTGATTCAGTTCAGTTCTAGTGAGATACTTCAGTTAGTTATAATATTAGATTATCAGATTATAATGCCTTGTATCTCATAAATGTCATTCACTGATAACCTTCCAAATTTTTGAAATGGAATCACAGATTATATCATGCTTATTTTGATATCTTTGACTCTATTTTGAATTCAAAAATAGTTCAGTGGCACAAAGAGAGTAGAGACAAGGAAATATATATCGGACCTCTCTACATTCCAATGCGGCCACGTTGGTAGCATTGAAGAGAAAGATGGAAGAGGAGAAAACTTTCCTCTCTCTCGTTGAGGGTAGAAAAGAGCTCAATTGATATCTTGAATGAAACTAAAATACCGGGTAACACAGACTCATGGTATGCCCCCCTTTCCTTCTTTGTTTTTCTAGCTATATTTCTGAAGGTTCCCTAGAGGGTACTTTCTCACATTTCAGAATTTTTTTGCACCTTCCGGTTTTCCTGGAGATGACATCAACTTTCGATTTCCAAATGGAACATCCTGTATTTTATTCCATAATCGGTTAGACATAACGAATTCAACAATACCGAGTTTGATTGGGTTATTTTAAACAATTACGAAGAGATTCGCGTTCGAAGTTTCCATAAGCTCAATGAGTGTGACAGAGATAGAAGTTTCCATATTGCGCCGTCACACCCATTGAGCTTATGGAAACTTTGAAGGTGATTATCTTCATAATCATCTGAAATAACGCATTCAAACCTGGTATTGTTAAATTCGTTATAATAATATATAACCGATTATAGAATAAAATACAGGGTGTTCCATATAAACGGCAGGAAAAGTTCGTTACTGTGCAACGTTCCAAGTAATTTGAATGAAATTGGTGATCAAAATTGACACTGACATTGGGTTGAATACAAAATGATGAAGTTTCCAATGAAAAAATAACACAAAATTGTTTTATAACCTTAGGAGAAAAAAATTACATGTTTCACACGGCAGCAAATGTAGATTGGCTGCCTTGGCTGAATTCCTATCAGCCGCGGCAGTCAATCTATACTACTTTGCTGCCTAGTAAAGCAAATGACTATTTTCAAAAAACTTCAACTCCTTGTATCTCGAAAACGAAGCTGAAAAAAAGTATTCATGAACTTTTCATTTCTTACCGTTCTCTATCGCATATCAAATTATCTCGATTACAATCTGAAACACCCTGTATATCGGATGTCGAAGTTTACATGTCCCAATAGCAAATCTCATTCATATCGAATAATAAAATTTTGAAATAAAATGCTTATGCATAACTTCCTTTTTTTTGAAATATTAACATTATGAAACTATATTTGCAGGCAAAAGAAAATAAAAACTGTTTTGGAAGAAGAAATAAACCATCAATGATTGAATCAATGCAGTCCTCATTTGTTTTATGGGGCAAAAGTACGCTAAAACCAACAGATTTCTCACGAGAAACACCAACCTCACTGAATCTTTCAAATATGCCAGTGGGAGCGGAAATATCCAGTTGTTTTGCAGCTGATATTCAACTATCACTGAAAGTCCTCGTATCCGAAAAAGGGTTCCTCACTATTGGAACTGACTACAAAGGTTGCCCAGTCTGGAACAGAAAATGGTGTGTTCTAGATGGTTCTCGGATCAAATACTGGAACTACCCAAGCCAAGAGAATGTTATGGAACCACAGGGACAACTGGACTTACTACAGTGTACCACGAATCAACTGAAGCATGTGGATAGGGAAGTATGCCCAAGGCCGAAAACATTAGCATTAAAAATAGAAGAGGATGGTTCCACTGTTAAAGAATTATTCTTATCGGCTGACAGTCAGACAGAACTGGAACAGTGGCAGAAGCAACTAAACTTAGTTTTAGAATACCTTAGGAAATGGAAGAATATTAATTGTTACTTAGAAAACTGAGTGTAAAATGTATATAGGTAATGGATTTATAGAATAATGTATATAGGTAGTGATATTGTATTTTTATAAATAATTTTACTTTGATACAGGCGATTTATTTCATATCTACACATAACATCACCTATTTTTGATGTTACAAAACTCCTGCTAAATTTTTTGGATTTCAACAGAATTTTTATATACAGAGTGACCAGGCCCTGATTAAGAGTTCTGACCGCCCTAGGCTAATTATGAGGACGCGCCCCCGCCATGAGTATTACGGTCGGCCTAAAGTAGTATATTAGTCTTGACTTTGTTTACTAGTATAAAAATTTTGACATGGTTCATACTACCTATAAAAGTTTTCGACTTGAAGTATTATTTATATATTTACATTTCTGTAATCTTAAAGACGAGAGGCATCATACAAGTGAAACATTTCTGCAACTGATTAATGTTTTATTTGAAAATCATAATAATTGAGTAATTATTATTTGCTTATAGGTAATAAGGTCTTTTTTCTTGCTTTAGCGTTTGCAAATCTTTCCACAATTTTTTCAAATTCGATAGTTTGAAGAATATCACTTTCTATGTACATTAGAGAGAGCGCTGCAAGCTTTTGCTGGCGGAGTGTGGAGCGTAAGTAATTTTGTACTCTCTTCAGTGCTGAAAAAGATCTTTCGCCGCTGCAGTTGGTAACACATATTGTCAAAGAAATTCTTAATATTATCTCCACATTCGGGAACATGCTTAAAATATTAAAACTTTTTATAAACTGCAACAAACCCTTTGGGGTTCTGGCAGAAAGAGAACGCTCGACCTCGGTGTCAGATTTTGAAAACTGCGCCAAATGGACGCATCCTTCTGCAATGGTTTCTTCTAAATCAGTAACATATAGTTGTTTCAACTCCTTTGCTCTGCTTCTAATAAATTCACTGTCGTCTAGTTCATGCAGTTTCCATAAGAAACCAAACTTTGTGTTTACTGTATTATGAATAATTTGCCGGTTTTTTATATGCACTTCAAGACAATCAATAGCTGCATAATAATTATCAACGATGGGAGATCGTCTCCTTTCTAACTCAATGTGCCCCGTTTTAACTTCATCAAAATGAAATTTTTGTTTCTTTCTTCTTCTTACGCGCGCTTTTTAAAATTTCAAAATTCATTGTTAAAATTAGGGACTATCAAGCGCATTTCGTTTTATTGTTTTGTCTCGGTCTAGTTGAAATATGTAGGGTAGATGCAATGATGCTAGATTAGTGCATGCGAAGACACGATTTTAGCGCGTCTTGCGCGCCCCCCCGATCTTCGCGCCCTAGGCTGCAGCCTAATCAGCCTAATGGTTAATCAGGCCCTGAGAGTGACCCATTTGAAAGCGGGCCACCCCTGTATCTCACGTAATCGTTGGGTAAGGATCATGAAATTTTCTGGAGCGAGAGATATACCAAAAATGCACTCTAGACCAAGTGGGGTCATCTTCAGTAATATACACTGCTCGCCAACAGCCATGGAACCACCCCAATTTCCGGAAAATGATATTAGGAGTCAAAATAGGTTAAAAATCACTTCATATTCGGAATCAGGACGCCCAATTCACTAACTCTTCATATTTTTCCTTGAAAATTTTCAGTTCTGAAAAATTAAATTATGTCGCACTTTTCACGGAAGCACCCCCGTATCTCACGTAATTGACTTCATCTTTGGACTTTCCGTTCCTCCTGCAAATTTTAGAACCCTACCACAATAATTACGTGAGATACGGGGGTGCGCTTCCATGAAAAGTGCGACAAAATGTAATGTTTCAGAACTGAAAATTTTCAAGGAAAAATATGAATAGTTAGTGAATTGGGCGTCCTGATTCCGAATCCGAAGTGATTTTCAACCTATTTTGACTCCTAATATCATTTTCAGGAAATTGGGGTGGTTCCATGGCTGTTGGCGAGCAGTGTATATCACTGAAGATGACCTCACTTGCTTATAGAGTGCATTTTTGGTATATCTCTCGCTCCAGCAAATTTCATGATCCTTACCCAACGATTACGTGAGATACAGGGGTGGCCCGCTTTCAAATGGGTCACTCTGTATATACAAAAATATACATATAATTATAGATACCTAATGATGATGGGTAATTTGTTGAATTGACTTGGCCGTTACTTGATGAAAATCCATAGCATACGTAACAACTTTACAAACGATGAGATTTCCACAAAATTCTTAATCACATGACATGTTTTGCATTCATGAACATGAGATGAATTTTTTGAAAAAGGAAACAAATTCAATTAACGTACGCCAACCATATACAGGGTGGCCCACGGTCGATGGTACCTTAGACGTATACAGAAAACGGTACATTGGATTATCCAGAAAATTTGATTACTCTAATAAGCGTTTGTGATCTAACGATTCAAAATATTTTCAGCGATGCAGCGTTGCCACTTTTACCAAAAAGTAGCATCATCTTTGTTATTTCAAATGGAACACGCTATATTTCATTGCGTTGTTAGATTCTTCTCGAAGAGCTGATTTCATCAATGCATCACACTTGGGGTCTAGCAGGAATTATTACCGAGATATAGGGTGTTCAAAATCGAGATTTTTCAATTTCAGGAATTTTTTGTGTCGAAACTATTCATTATCAAAACGGCTTACATGTCCCTATCTTAACTTTTGATTCACTAACTACTGACATTTAATTGGAACAGATACAGGGTGATCAAAATTCTGAATCTTGGACCATCCTGTATTTTTTCCAATTAAATGTCGGTAGATAGTTAATCAAAAGTTAATATAGGGACATGTAAGCCGTTTTGACCAATGATGAATAGTTTCGACACAAAAAAATTCTAAAGTTGAAAAATCTCGATTTTGAACACCCTATATCTCTGTAATAATTCCTGCTAGACCCCAAGTGTGATGCATTGATGAAATCAGCTCTTCGAGAAGAATCTAAAAACGCAATAAAATACAAGGTGTTCCATTTGAAATAACAAAGATGATACTACTTTTTGGTAAAAGTGGCAACGATGCTTCGCTGAAAATATTTTCAATCGTCGGATCACAAACGCTTATTAGAGTAACCAAATTTTCAGGATAATCCAATGTACCGTTTTCCGTATACGTCTGAGATACCATCGACCGTGGGCCACTCTGTATATTAGAAGGAAACCATAGTTTTGATGATAATTTCGAAATTCAACATGTAGAAAATAAAGGAATAAAACTCAATCATTTTGAATCATTAGAAATCAACAAACCCAAAAATTCTAACATTTTACCTAACGATCATCTCAATAGGTCAACACTGTTGAATTTGTTTTCTTAGTTGGTTATAAGATGTATTTGCTATCAACCCTTTCAAGTTAATCCAGTACACCATATTTTAATGTAGATATTGTGGGTACATACCGGAAATGAAGGTTTATTTATCGAACCTTTCCACAGGTAATTCTATTCCTTCAGGTTGGGAAAGTTGGAAATATATTAAAGTTACGCAAGCCAAGGTTAGTTTAGGTACCAGTATTTCACCTGATGAAGCTACTGTGTTTTGTAGAAATCTCATCGTTTGTGAAGTTTGTGCAAATGATGGGTAAACTTGGGAGGGGTATTAATTTTATCATTCAATGGTCACATATTAAGATGATGGTCAATGGTCACATATAAAGATGATGAAGGGAATGTCAATCTCATAAGTATATGAAGATAATTTTAAGAAAAAAGTCTATTTAAACTTTTCTCCGGAAATGCTTCATTTCAGAGATACAGGGTGTGGCAGGGTGTTGAAATACAGACAAAAAATCATTTATCCATAAGCATTTCCTAGGAAAAAAGTAGTTTATTTTGACGAGACCTACCACATACATGGATCAATAAAGAAAATTGTAAATATCCCCAAAACTATCAACTCCAGCATTGTTACTTGGAAAAGATGTGGGAATAAGGTTTTTCCATGACAAGTACCAAAAGTATACTGTCAAAAATGTTAGGGTAATTTGAAATAAAGAATGACAGCGCTATGATATGATTTCTATGTGATTTCTTATGTCAAAAAAAACCGGGTGCTAAACTTCCTGCAAATTGCTTATATTTTGCAAAAGTTATTTTCAAAACACGAACACAACAATTCAATTTCAACACCCTGTATCTCCAATAAGGAGCATTTCTGGACCTGAATATTTAAACTGAATATTTAAACATACTTATGTTACACCCTTCATAGGAGGGAATGGGAATACTTCTGGAAAAATAGGTACTCTGAAAATAGAACATGGCTCACTTCAGTGAATTGTCCCAAGAACCCAGGACATTATTTTTCAAATAATTCAAGATAGGTACCTATTGAAAAAAAAACAAGTGACCTTACAAGCAGAATGATTGGAGAAATGGAAAGCTGATAAATACATTTCAATGGGAAATTAGATTCTGATGGTACTAGTTAATAGGGTAGCCCAGTTTTAGTGCCCATGGACCTTTATAGGTGCCAATTCAAGCTATTAATGGAATTAGGCTTATTCAGTTAAGGTTTAATGTGCTTGAAAAAAAAAATGATGAAAACAGTTAAATAAGAATCTAGATATACCTAGGTATACTCAATAATAATTATTAGAAACAATGAGTTTAAAAATTCAAAGAACCAATACAGGCAATTTAATAAACAGGGTTTTGGCTCAATCACTTTGTAGCATAATTCCCAATAGAAAAATTCTCAACTGCCTCAGAATTCAGCTAGGGATTATTGATGTGCCAGATTAATTTTTACCTAAAAGCTATCATGTCCTTTGAACTTGAATGTGGAATTTACATGATGGCATATTCTGTACTTCTGCAGTCACTAAACAGAAAATGTTCAAGTTTGCTAAACACCCCCTTATTATTCCACAAGTGAATGAGACATATCTAGGTGCTGCTTCCAAATATTGTTTTCCATTAGATATCTTGGTTAAAAACCTGAATGCATTGTCTTGCAATACATAAATTCCTTGGTGGTTTGTTCTAAGATTGTCAATTTGTTTTTTGTACACTGCAGACCAGAAGTCAGTACAGATGAATTTCATTGTATCAAGTTCATCTTTGAACCGAGGCATTTCTTTGGTTAATCTGAAATCAATAAAATTAATGGTACAAATTAATATTCAGTCTTAAATTCACCTTTCAATCAGCCTATATCCAGTTGAAAATCCTATGTATTCAATAGTGGACAAATCTTCATCCTAAAAATCCACCACTTATTATCAAATATGATGACCCTTTTATTTGTATCAGCATACTTTTCCATCTTTATTTCTCGATTCACCATTCTGTAAAACGTAATTAATGATTTCGCTATGAAGAACTTCAAATAACGTTTCTTCTGCCATTATTATTATTATTATTTTTATTTCACTAATTCTAACCTCAAACTCCCCAAGTCCTCAAACGGCTCCAACTTCACCTTTGGGTTGGGTTTGTTCCATCATGGGTTTGTTCGTATGTTCACAGATCACAGAATAGTTGGTTAGTTAGCATCGATCCGTGTAGTTCCTAGTTCCGTGTGGTACCGTCAAGAAACCCAAGATGCCCAAGATTAAATAGCCTTGCCGGCTACCGTTGAATTAATCATTCCAGAATCACGTCATTTGACAGGTTGCTGAGGGGCAAGCATTGTATTTTGTCAAGATTTGTCATATGAAATCAGAATTAGTGGGATCGTTTTCTTTGAAATCCGAGTTGGAACCCGAAAGAATTCCATAATTCTGTTTGGTGAAACTGTTATCATATTGTGGATGTGGCAGGGATGCCCAGGGCATCCCAGGGCTATGCTCATCAAAGGTAACCTAACAGATAGTTTGTGTGCCCCTCAAGAAACCATGTCAAAATCACGTGTTCTAGAATGGTCAATATTCGCGGTCGCCAAGGTCATTAGTTGGAATCTCAGTTGGAATGAAAAACCAAAGGTTATAGTTCAGTGTGAAATTCTGTGCCCAAACTACGGGAAAAAGCTCGCACTTTCAATCTTAGGTTCACCTTGGCGACCGCGAATAGTTCATCAAGAAAAAGTCCCTTTCTTAAACAGCTGATTTTGACAGACGTGACAAGCGACAGTGTTATTTGAGGTGCGTAAAGGTGTGAAAGATCTCATTTTCAAATAAAAATGAGTTCGTCAGATATTGCCGGGCCGATAACGAATACTTGTGTAGTTTGTGGAGTTGATAAAAATCTTTCCCGTTGTGCTCGTTGTAGGATAACTTATTATTGCTGTAAGGACCACCAGAAAAAGGACTGGAAAAAACATAAAGTGACATGTAAAAAACAGGACTCTGCTGATAGTGTTGAAAAAAAATATGGTCACATTGTGAGCAGTCAAGAATGTAGTACTTTATTACCAAGTGAAGGCAGCTCAGAAAACGAAATCCTGAGTTCTCTTGGAGAACAACTTGCCCCAAACAATAACTATGAAATATCGTCAACAGAGAAGTCTTTGAAATCACTTGATACCACCATGCCTATCAGTGGGAAAAATATTGTACAATCAAAACATAAAACTCTCAAAGACTTTCCTGAAATAAGTCTCAATTCTAGTTCTGCATCTCTTCACCATAACATACAAGATGACTATTTAGAGGAAATGAGCAGAAACGTTGTACAGGACTTGAGTGCATATGGACTATGTGTAATAGATAACTTCTTAGGTGCTGAAAGAGGAAAAACTGTCCTAGCAGAAGTGTTGAAAATGGAGTCTCAAGGTGTGTTTCGTGATGGACAACTAGTTTCCTCAAAAGGCAACAAGGAGGATCTAAAGACTATTAGAAGTGACCAAATCTGTTGGGTACATGGTAAAGAGACAAACTTTCCTAATATTGGTTATCTGGTTAGTCAAGTTGATGCTGTTATCATGAAAGCCAATAAATTGTCAACCAATAGTCAGCTAGGGCAGTACAATATAAATGGAAGAACCAAGGTGAGAACTTGAAACTTTGCCAGTTTATAAAAGTGCCAGAGTTAATGGTTTAGTCACATTTCTCATATTATTGGTTATTCACCTTGTTTTTCCTGACTCAACTGCTAAGCTAGCAAAACAGGGATTGGAATGGCTATAGGTCCAGATAGGCAAGGCTGTAGGGGGCCATATAGGTATGCTAGTTTTACTAATGACACTCTAATCTAGCTTCAGCCCTTATTCTACCAATTCAACAGAATTTGACCAAGAGAAATGAAATTCCAATGTGGTTTTACTTAATGCTGGTTTTTTTTTGTAGAGTAGCATTATCTTCAAATATTCTATAATAATAATAATAAACCATCTGCTCAAGTCATTCCATAACTTGAGGTTTTTCTACTTGTTCAAATATTCTACATCATTTTCTCTGAATATTTTCCATAAAACAGGCCACAGCCTTTGGGGTTATCTGCCAAAATTTTGGGATTTTTTACTTTGACATTAACCTCACCTTCTAGTAATGCCAGGAGTAATGCCAAAATGATGAGACATGGTGAACTGAGACTGTTAGCCCTCATTATCCATTAAAATTCAGTAGAAGTATAAAACAAGTATAAAACTACCTAATTCCAATTTGAAATCAATTTTGGAGCACACTTTAGTAAATTAATAATATATATATCTTCATTTCCAAATCAGTTATGTACAGGGTGATTCAAACTTTTTGCCTCTCACAACAAGAAATGGAGAATTGATAATGCAAATTTGGCAGAGGGGATTTGAATAGTTGTGTGTGAGCTTTGAGTATTCCATAATCAAGGGAGTAAGATATATTTTTTCATATTCAAAAATTTCTTAACCCTTCTTAAAATGGCGGAAATGACCTCATATAAAATATTTTTTCCACAAAAAGTTACCACCCTTTCTCCATATTCTGAAAGTTATCCTCTATGTTTATTTGGCTAAAAGCTATAAGACTCTAAAGATGGTATTTTTAAATAAATCTCAACCGACCCTGCTGTAATAAAAATCAAGTCAGCTGGGTTTTAGTTATATAATCCGTTTCAATAGGTCACGTGCACGATGACACTGACGATGACCGACCCTGGAGGTAAAACAATAAACACAACCTCACTTTTCTTATCTGTTTGTGTTTACAAAGGATTGAATTAGTTTTTCACAGATCTTGCATGCAACCCATATCAATGTAAAATATTGCAAAATGTAACCCTATTCATTTACTATACAAAACAATTTGTTTCACTGCCGACTTCATTTTTATTATGGTGGGGTCAGTTGTCAATTGAGATCATTGAGATTAACTTATTACTCCTATTAGAAAAAATGCTTTTAGTCCCATAGCCATCAACCAAATATGTTCTTTCATAATATATTATAAAATTATTATAACTTTGTGGGAAACATAATCTCTCTGACGCCATTTCCACGTTTCCAGGAGTTTATAAAATCTGTTTGGTGTTTGTGGTAAAAGAGTGTCATGTGATTTTCATGCTGTTAGCAATCAGTTTGGTCATCAGCAATAAAAATCACATCAACCTGAGTTGCTACTTACCTCAACTCATTAATAGCAAAGGCATCATATATAATGTATTATCGTGTATTATGTAATTTATTCACCTATTCTAATGGACAAATACATTAAACAGATAGTAGGTAAGTATTATACCGAGTATTATACAGACAATTGAAAAAAAAATGGTAGTTACCTAAAAAATGGTATATAGCTCGGTGGGTATATATATAGGTAGGCTCGGGTAGGCTCAGGTATTATGTAGACGAAAAATCGAATTTAGTTATGGTCGGATCGAACAATCAAAAAAATGTTTAAACTTGTTATTTCTGCATGTGTCATGTTTCAACCATATACCGAGGACTATATCTATATGTTTCAACTTTCAACTGCAGTTACATGACTGTTTCAACCATCCTACTTTGATGTGTAGATTTGCCTCCCAAAAATATATATATATATATATATAATCATATCCCTTTTTACCCATAGGGTGTAAGGGTGCATGTTTCAGTACATTAATAATAATTATTGTTTATAAATTTCTTCCATTCCTTTCTTTCTTGTGCTAAGTCCTTAGCTTCTGGCCACGTTTTTCTTCTCTTCTTCAGAATTTTTCCAACAACATTGTCCCACGTCTGTATTGGTCGCCCTACTTTCCTTTTCCCTTGAGCTTTGGACTCCCATATCCTTTTGACCTGTGTTCCGTTTTTCATTCTTTGTAGATGTCCCCACCACGCTAGTTGTTTTTTCTCAATATATTCTTCTATCGATTCTATTTCCAATTCTTCTCTTATTACTACATTTCTGATTCTTTCTCTCCTTGTAATGCCTTTCACTCTTCTCAGATACTTCATTTCTGTTGCTCTAATTTTGCTCTTTTCTTGTTCCGTTAATACCCATGATTCACAGCCGTGCGTTAGTATAGGTCTGTAAATGGTTTTGTAGACTTTCATTTTAGTTTTTCGTGATATTTCTCTTTTATTTATGAATCCCTTATTCAATGAGTAATATACTCTGTTAGCTTTCTCTATCCTATTGCTCAATTCCACTTCGTGTTTTCCCGTTTCTTCTAGTGTTATCCCTAAGTACTGAAAATTTTTAACTTGTTCTATTCTCTCGTCGTCAATCATTACTTCAATTTCTTTCCTTTCCCCTGAGATTACCATCACTTTTGTTTTTGTTTTGTTCAGTTTCATGCCATACTTCATTAACACTTCCTTCCATACTCTCAAGTTTTCATTCAGATCTTTCTCGCTTCCTGTAATTATTGCTACGTCATCTGCAAAGGCACATTCAGATATTCCAATCCTTTCCAAGTTTTTGTATCCAATATATAATGGTTTTGTTTTTAGTTACGCTTCTTTTATTATTTCGTCCATCAACGTTATGAATAACAGAGGACTCAGGTTACCTCCTTGTCTCACCCCCTCTTTTGTTCGGAATTCGTCAGACTTGGCGTTTTTACTGATAATTATATTTTTTGTTTCTTTGTAAATGCATTTGATTACTCTCAATAGTTTCTTCTCTACTTTCTTTTTATTTAGGCATTCCCATATTTTATTTCTTGGTACCCTGTCGAATGCTTTTTCTAAGTCGATGAATGCTATGTAGGCTGTTTTATTTCTTGTTAGTAATCTATTTGTGACCGAGGGGTGATCCACTGGGTTGAAAAATGTACGGGTATTGCCAAATCGGCAATACTTTAGGAAATATTGCCTATATTTCCAGTATTTCCTGTTATTGCTGGCAATAAAACCAGTATTGCTCGTATTTCCAGTCTATTGCCTATATTCCCTATGATTCCTAGAATATTGCTTTTATGCCTGACTATTGCTTGTATTTCCTGAATATTTCCTGTATTTCCTGAACATTTCCTGTATTTCCTATAGATAATTTCTGTATTCCCAGAATTATTCTGAAGGGATCATCTACTTTGAACACTAAGAAAATGTGAAGAAAGAAACATTATTGTTCCATACAATTTTTTCAAGGTTTTTCGCTCATTATCTCTGAATTTATTAGAAGAATACTCTTCAAATTTGGAAAGAAGAATAATATAAGTACAGGGTGATTGACTATGGATTTCTCGACTTCAACAGCTGATATCTCGAAAACGAAAAAAGATATTTGAAATTTGAAAGAAGTTACTTGAATGAGCTGTCATTTCCTTCTGGAAAATGTGTTTTCTGCTCGATTTTATCATTTCATATACAGGGTATGTGAAAAAAAAAATTTTTTTCAAATGGAACCCCCTGTATATTATCGCATATTTCGAAAGAGCTATCTTTCCTGATTTTGAAAATATATAATTTTCATATATTCTATCGAGTGCTCGACGAAATATCAGCAAAATTAAATATCAATATTTGGTCCAAGTTAGCTATGGTTGAAATAGAATGAGATGATGAATAAGTGAATTGACATTTGGTCAACATTTCAGTGACATGAAAGCGCAAAATTTCGACAATTTTTTCACGATGCCATATCCACTGGAACAAAGAAGAGATATTTTGGAGTGCTATTTTTCAGTTAATAAAAATCTTGCTGAAACACTTCATAAGTTTAAGAGGAGTTATCCAGGCAGGAGATTACCAAGTAAGAACAAAGCATTTGGCTGCTAAATTTGACAGAACTTCCAGTTTGTCGAATATCAAAAGAATAGTGAGAAGGCAAGACAACGAAGACGAGGAACTTCTTGTAATCCAGTATTTTGTTGAGGATCCTTCACGGTCAATAAGAAATGCAGTGAGAGCTTAGAGAGTTCGGTTTCAGCAATTATTTTGTTCAACATACCTCAAAGAAATATAAATATAGGGATTTCAGAATTAGATCATGCCACAAACTCAACTATGATGATAATGAGAAGCGGATTGAATGTTGTCTTGTCATATCTGAAAGATTAAATATAAGTAAGTATAAGTGTAAGTGTTTCAGCAAGATTTTTATTAACTGAAAAATAGCACTCCAAAATATCTCTTCTTCGTTCCAGTGGATATGGCATCGTGAAAAAATTGAATCGTGAAATTTTGCGCACTTATGTCACTGAAATGTTGACCAAATATCAATTCACTTATTCATCATCTCATTCTATTTCAACCATAGGCTAACTTGGACCGAATATTAATATTTAATTTTGCTGATATTTCGTCAAGCCCTCGATAGAATATATAAAAAGTATATATCTTCGAAATCAGGAAAGATAGCTCTTTCGAAATATGCGATAATATACAGAGGGTTCCATTTGAAAAAAAATTTTTTATTCACGAACCCTGTATATGAAATGATAAAATCAAGCAGAGAACACATTTTCTAGAAGGAAATGACATCTCATTCTAGTACCTTTCTCCAAATTTCAAATATCTTCTTTCGTTTTCGAGATATCAGCTGTTGAGGTCGAGAAATCCATAGTCAATCACCCTGTACTCTTCGAGGAAATTATTTAAGAAATCCATCTTAGTGAGTTTAGGATCTTCTTCTACAAATAAAG